GGTGCCACCCCTCCCTGCCCAGCGCAGCCAGACACCTCACCGTTCTCCGTGGTGGACAGGAGGCACATCAGGCGCAGGCTCTCGATGGGGGACACCTGCGTGGGAGCAGGCGGTGAGCCACCCGCAGCCCCCGCATCCCCACAGCAGGACAGGGCGGCCAGAGCAGCCCGTCCCTCCAGCTCGGTGCGGTCTCACCTGCCGGTCAATGTGCTCCTCTATGAAGCTGGTGCTCTCACGGATGTCGAAGCCCTCCAGCAGAGCTATGGCAGGGGAAGAGGCAGCGTCACTTTGCCCACCCCCAGGGCTCTCGCCAGCTAACTGACCTGGAGCCTGGGCTCAGCCTCCCTCCCTGAGCCCCAGGGAATGGGGCAGGCTTGTGATGCTGGGCCTCCTACCCCACCACGCACCAGCTCTCTGAGGATGTGGCTTGGCCCCATTTAGGATCTCAAGACCCACCCCAATACAAATGGTCTGGAAGGACTGTGGTCATGCAGGGGGCACCCGAGTGTGAGGCTGCCCAGGCCTGGGGCAAGTGGGTCGGAGCAGAGTGGAGAAGCGAGGATTGAGATGGGGGTAGCAACAGATGTGGGACAGGAAACAGCACTCACAATGTTCAGCCTTGATCATCTCCTGGAAGTCCTGCTTGGTTTTCTTTTTCATGATGGACTCGCAGGCACCAATATCTGCACAGCCAAGAGAGATGGCCACTTTGGAGGAGTAACAGGCTCCGCATACAGCTTGTCCCCCCAGCCCCACTGCGGACACTTGCATGAACTAACAGCCCCTGCTACCCTGCCCACTGCTCAGATCATCTGCCCCTCCTGGGGACTAGCAGGGCCCTTCAACCCCCACTGCTTTCCCCGGGGCCCAGGCACCCACTGCAACGGCCAAGGGCCTCTCCCTCCCCGTCATCCCAGCCCCGGCTCCTACGCAGGCTCAGCAGGCGATGCTCTTGCTTTAGTCCCTTCAGTTCCTGGGAGACAAAGTTCTTCATCTGCTTGATGTCCATGCTGCGGCGCCGCTGCAGAAGAAAAAGCATCCGGGGAGGTGATCGGGCTGCGGAGGGACGGCACCGCGGGCGTCCCACACACTGGGGTGATACTCACATCATACTGTGCCTGCAGGTTACGCGACTTCTGGCTCAGGAAGCCGAACACGCTGGAGAAGTGCTCATTCCGAATCTGACTGAAGACCTGCAGAGAGCACAGCAGCAGTCAGCACCGGACCCCACGCTCCCCTGTGCCAGCACAGGGCCTGGCCAGCCACAGCCCCCAGCACCGCAGTACCCGGAGCTGATGCTTGCCAGCAGCCTGAACAGCAGTGAGACAAGGTGGTATTCCCGCCGGGGACGTCAGTACCCCAAAATTCCGACCGGCCAGCATGACACACCCCTGCACGCAGGGACTCTGCCGACTACAGGAGCTGAGCTGCACCTGCAGACCGTGTTTCTCTGGTCTGTATACCCCAACTCATCCCAACCTGCACTCTGAGGCCCAGCAGCACCTGGCCACCCCCTACTCAGGCTTAGGGGAGGAAATGCCCCGCTCAGCCTCCTCCCGGTGCCACCTGGGCACAGAGCACAGCGGGACCCGCTTCCCCTGAGGCACGTGAGCCACTCACTTTGTCCTGGGCATTGAGCAACACCTTAATACTCTTGTCAGAAGAGGTGACGTCTGGCCCAAAATCCACGCTCCCTGCAGAGAAGGATGAAGAGCTCTTTGCCCCAGCACTAGTGACATCCCAGCACATGTCGTCAGCCCTGCTGCAAAAGGCAGCAGAGACAGGTGGTGCCCACCCAGCCACTCGGTGAGACCAAGGGCTGTCCTCATGGACAGCCTCCAGCAGCACCCCACACTGGGACTGTCCCCGCGGGGAACAGCGTTGGCTGCAGCACACACGCCCTGGGTCTGATGATGCCAGGCACAAACCCTAGAGACTCTCCCTACGTGGGTACGGAGCCCCGCGCCGCCCCGTTGCCTCCCCAGCCACCTACCGCACTTGATGCGGAAGGTGTCGTCCACCAGCCCCTCATACACCACCTGGGAGCACAGCGCCGTCACGTAGTCCGTGTCTGCAACGAGAGCCGGTGCCCAGGCTGCCCTCCCGCTCCTCCCCTGCCTTGCCCTCGCTGCCTGCCCTCCCTGCCCAGCCTCGACCACCGCAGCCAGACACCCCACGCCTCCTGCTGCTCCCTGCAACCAGCACAG